TTAATGTTATTTCCATTAGGACTATGGGAAAGACATAGCACAAGGCTGGGCTCTGCTTTCTGCTTTGGATATAGTTATATTTGTGAACACTGATGCAATATTACAACTAGTTACCGTATGTTATTCTCACTCCAAGACAATTCCATAGTCAGTAAAAAAAGAAAGAAAAGTTCCATCCTCTTCTAGGTAAGTAAACAGTTCTAATATCACTTAATAAATGTACCTGAACTTGTTAACCTTTTGTAGCAGATTACAAGGCAGGCAGACACTGGTCCTTGAAAACAGAAGTAAAAATTCAAAAGCAGAAACATGTCCTAAATTATTTATAAGACAAAGAATTTTTCCAAGGATATATTTGGTGAGTCGTGTATTCTGTACATAAATATTGAACTATAATAGTGTTTAAATTAGAAACAGGATACTAAAAATAGGGAAACCAAACCTCATGGATTTTTCAAGTGTTCAGTAATCCCTCATGAACTCTCATCCAATATTTTCATGTTATTAATATTTAAAGAAAGAGTTTATATTCTCAGTATTATGGGAATCCCAGACGAGATTCAGAGAAAAGGATTTGCCATCATTTTTTAATACCTTGATTCTGAATGCTTGACTTTTCAACTTTAATGTTTCATTAACTCTAGTTCTTTTAATTTAATTTCCATGGATTTTGCTTTAGTTTTTATAGGAAAAGGACTCTCTTCCCATATATGAATGATCTGGAGCTATTTGCCTATTCAATATAATTACAAGCCCAAATGCCTCTACCCATTTTATCTGCAAACAGTGATCAACAATTTACTCTAAGTAGCAATGTATGAATCTTAAAATATATAGTATGTATGTAAAACATACCTGGGCAATGCAAGCTGAAGTCTTTCAGATGACCACTTCGGTCATCTAAAGAAGTGGGCTGTGCCCACGAAAGCTCATGATACCAGCTACATATTTTGTTAGTCTTTAAAGTGCTACCAGACTATTTGTTTTTTTTTAAAGTTTTTCCTGTTACAGTCTAACTTGGCTACCCCTCTGAAGCTTTTGAAGTCTTTCACCACAAAGAATCATCTTTCCAGGAAAATCCATTTACAAAATAGGCATCTGCACATCCAAAATAAGAACACAACTAACTACAATTCCATAACTATAGTCAATTGTTATAACTTGCAGGCAGTGAGCCCTCTAACATATTTAATGGTATTTTTTGTTTTACAAAAGCAAAATTTCACTATCTATACATCTGCCTCCCGTTATACTGTTACATAAATGTATGCTCTATTGTTTTAAAATAATGTCTTAGAACTACAAACATGTTTAAAGTTTTCTTCCCTTAGCTCAAAATAGGATTAAAAAAGGTCCATATGACAAATCATGATTGTATTATTTGGGGGAAAAAAAAGTAATGAACAGAATACGAATGCTAAGTTTTGTTTTGTTTTTTACAGAAGAGAAAGCAAACACTCACAGATGTCTTAATACTACACCCTGTTATTGTATAAACCTAAATTACGCAGACTAGATAAATAATAGGGGATGGATGATTTGAACCAAACCTTCAATAGTGATTGTAAACAACATATTCTGTTTTTAACTTTTCTGGGCTTACATTCAACCCCCTCTCCCAAAATGGAGTTTTTCTTTCCAATAATTAAGACATCAAGAGAAGGCACTACATTTGTAGGGTTTCAAGTACATGCAAAAAAAATTCACAGATTTCCACAGGAAAACTGCCATACTCAATGCCAGCAAGCAGCTGATAAGAGTTTTGAACAGAAAACAGACAATAAACAGGATATTTTAAAAATAAAAGGTTAATTTGAAAACAAGTTTATGGAATGTCTGTCATAGTTCTAAGCCAAATATGTTTTATTGCAAAGGCCTGAATTTTCAACAACATTATAAATATTGTGCATTTTGAACCAATCTTCAGGATCTTAGGACTCTCAGTGCTCTAATATTAATGTAGCATTTTAACAGCCTGATTCTGACTTCAGTAGTCTATGAGTTTTACAATGAACTCACTGAATGGAAGTCTGTCCCCAAAATATAAGAAGAGAAATGTATTTGCAATATTTTCTGATATTGTTGCTTCATGAACATATTCAAATGAAGGAGAAAAATGTATTTAATTACAGTAGTTCCCAAGTGTTTATTCTATGTTCAGAATGCTCAAACTTTTTAGCTGACTTCTCCAACTAGCTGAGACACATTACAAATACAGGCAGTCCCCGGGTTACGTACAAGATAGGGACTGTAGGTTTGTTCTTAAGTTGAATTTGTATGTAAGTTGGAACTGATACATATTGTAGGGGAAACTCTAGCCAAACATTTCTCCAGAGCTCAGTTTTATTCTCCCACACCTCACTTCCCTCAGTCCTTTATTCTCAAGCTGAGGTGTCTGCTGAGAAAAGCCGCTCCACGTCTCCCTGGTCTGCTGGGTGGGGCGCTAGCTTTGCTGGGGGGAAGCAGCTAGTGCGGGGTTGCCTCACCCCGTTTGTAAGTAGGGATCCATGTAACCCGGGGACTGCCTGTACAACACAAAGTAATCTCTGCAGGCAAGGGCCACAAAGATTCTGAGAAATACAGAAAGAGCTGTGGGTACTGCTCTACATCCTCTTGCAGATAGAGAAAAAGTTTAAATATTGTCTAATAAATGTAATAGATCTTGTAATCAGCTACAAGTTCATTAGAAAGACAAACACTGACTTGCAAATGGAAACAAAGAAATTCAGAAGCATGGAAATTCACTGACTTATCTAACATTAAAACAAAAATATAAAAATACAGCATTAAAATAAAAATGGGCCAGGGAATGTTCCATAAGTTTTATTTTGGCATATTGTTCATGCAAAAGGAATCAACAAGTTCTAGTTATATAATTGTAATAAGATTTCTTCTGCAAACAATAGGCAACCTATTCTGTTTAGGAGCTTCAGGGGATAGCCAAGTTAGTCTATTACAGAAAAAAAAAAAAAAAAAGGTCTGGTAGCACTTCCAGGCTCCTATGCTGCCTCATACAGCACAATTATTTCAAGTGGTATGCCAAGAGCTGCTGTAAAACTAGGTTTATTGTACAATATTCAGTATAAAGTTAGCTTGTGCAATTAGTTTATTGTAAAATAGTCTCACCCCTTAAAGCAGAATCTACAAAAGGTATGCATAGGTGTTTTTCTGTCTGTGGATACAATTAGGGTATTGCTGTGAAACAAATGCATGGTTTTACTGTGCACTACAGTAAACAGACATGAACAAGCCTGCAGAAAGAGACAGACCTCAAATAAGAGTCACTTAGTACCACCATCTTACAAAACCTCTCTTCTTCCCTTATTAGGTCTTCCTTTTTTTTCTTAAGACTCTTCAACCCCTTTTAGCATTAAGAAAGGTAGAACAGACAAAGACTGTGGGACAGAAAAAAGCTACACACACTGTTTTCTGGCCAGTATATGCCTAAATATTTCTATAATGCATCCAATATTACAATTAAGTTCATTGCATCACTGATCTTACAATACTTCAAAAAATGCTATTATTAGTTACTGACAAACTGATCCGTTACTTTTGTTAGCTGGTGGCACAAAAGATTTCAAAATATTATAAAAATAGTAATTCAGGAATATGAAAGATCACAGTTATATGCAGTGTGGTAAAATAAACAAGACCAGCTTGCTTCTAAAATTAGTCATTTAGAATATTTTACTATTAAAAATAATGAGATGATAGCTGCAAGACTTCAAGGAGAAAGATGCTTTCTTTTATATTTGTGCACTTACATACATGCAAAGTATGCACTGGAGATCCTAATACTATACAAATAATCCCTAGATACTATTTTACATTTGTTTTTAAATATTCCTTTGACTAAGTTATCTTAGTACTCAAACAAAAGAAACATCAGGCTAAATATGATACCAACAACAAACCTTGCAACCTAGTTTATTCCACCTGCAATCCTAATCCTTCTACTAAACTGAGCATAATCTTCAAAAAAATACATTCCTTATAGAAAAAACACTTAAGGAAAGTTTTCTTTCTGGCCACTGATGACCCCTCAGAAAGAAGAGAGACTGTAACTCTCAAGAGGCTTTTAGATTTTAATAATGAGCCACACTGAAAAGAGTTTTTAATTTTACAAATTAAGCCAAAGAAAAAAAATGCAATTTTATCATTTTAAAACTGCTGTTAAAAAGGATAACAATTTTAAAATCTGAAATTCAATTTGTGACACATAAGAATCACATTTAAAATAGTAAATAAATAATATTTAATTTTCAACCCAATTATTACAAACCTTGTATTTAGCTTGGCTATCACAGTTCTTCCTGCAACATTGTTTTAACATGTATTATGCAGTAAACTTAGTAATAGGCTACAGCAGTTATGCACTAATTTGTCCAAATTATTCATTTTATATATTCTTTAAGCACATAATGCCTTCTGAAACAATGAAACATCATCGATGATGCATGAGTCGACATGCAACTTGAATATTCATCAGAACAGATAACATAAAAGGGATTGAATGTTTAGATATCTTTATTGTTGTCATTTCATTAGCGGTTCCAGTTTATCAATAGTCTTAAATAGTCAAATGAACCTGGAAATATGTAAAAATATATAGTTTTATGAATGAATACATGTTAATCTATATTTAACTTAGAAAAGATCATAATTCTGTCTTATTAGTTCAGTCATGCAACTGTACCAACCCTAAAGAATTACATTTACTAGCTAACTAGCAATATGCACATTGAATTTTAAAAATATTGAGAGATAATTACTACTGTACCCACACAAACAAAGTCTCTGGCATACTTCGTATGCACCTGCAATGCAGTTGAGAACCCTACATTCCCACCTTCAGGGCTGCCAAAGCCCCTTGTCCTTCTATCTTATCATTCCTACCTCTGCTTTTGACAGTTTAATATAATACATTCAAAAAGCATATTATTTTAATTTACTGTGAAATACAAACAGGAAAGTCTCATCCACCCCTACTGGCCCACCTTAGTTTTTAGGTTTCAAGATAAGCACACAGCAGTGAGGTGACTGGAAGATACTCCATTTCTAAAGGCGGGCTTTGCCCTTCTTGCTTCTAATTCCACAAATGACAGGCTCTCTCTTTAATGAAATACCACCTCACTTGAATAAAGATCCTACCCCACCCCACACTTGATATAATCCTTCCATCTTTTCTTTCTTCATCCACCCCATAGATTCACTGCAACAGTAGAGGAGGAGAATAATGTTACTTCCCTAAAGCTCAAAGGCAACACTGTCCTTCATGTTCCTTCTTTTATTAGGTACCCCTGTGGTGTACCTTATATTGTAAGACAAGCAGTCATGCCATCTCCCCTCCCAGGGAAGAATTCAGTCAATCCACTGAAATGTATCTGTTTTCTAAATAGGAACAAAGAATTAAACAAATGCCTGTCAGTGGGGTAGCCAGGGAGTAACAGGGGAGCAGAATAAATCCCCTGCTGCCAGCCTCCTATTCCACTGCAGACTGAAGCAGGGGTTGTAAAGGCTCACAAAAGGGGAAGGCAATCTTTTTGCTACAACACTGCAGTCCCCCGACAGACACCTTCATAGAGAAAAACTTAAAAAACAACAAATGGTAGCACTTTAAAGACTAACAAAAAATGTAGATGATATCATGAGCGTTCATGGGCACAGCCCACTTCTTCAGATGACCAGAGTGTTGTACATAATTCCATCTACAGGTACAAAAGGATGGGTTTTGCCCATGAATGCTCATGATACCATCTACATCAGTGGTTCCCAAACTTTTCGGCGTCATGCCCCCCTTTTGATTTTTGAGAAATGCTCACACTCCTCCCTCCAGCAGCAAAACTTATTGGGGGGGAGGAAAATGGAACTGACCAGAGCAGAAAAACAAAAATAGCAGCGAAACTTAGGGGGGAGAATTGACCAGGGCGGGGGAGGGGGAGGTTGGGTCATCTCATACCCCCTCTGGAGTTTCTTCATGCCCCCCAATTTGAGAACCCATGATCTACATGTTTTGTTTATCTTTAAAGTGCTATCAGAATATTTGTTGTTTTTTAAGTTTTTCCTGTTACAGACTAACTTGGCTACCATTCTGAAGCTTCATAGGGAAGATGGTCTTTGCCCTGTACACCTAGCTTCATTCTCTGCTGGGCGTGGGCAGAGGGAACCTTTTTTTCATTTATGCAGAGGAAGAACCCTATGTAAATTGAAACAGTGCTCAGCCCCCCACATGTTGGGAACATTAGTTGAAAGCCACTGTTCTATGGTAACAACAACCTTTTGCTGACCCCTTACTCAAGGTCTGTAAGTGCCCAAGGGTCTGCAGGTTCAGAGCTGCTGCTCTAATGAGAGTGGTAAGGGGATGTCTGACTTTCACCCCAACCTCAACCCCAACCAGGGCAGGAAAAATGTCCTCACCTGAAAAAGGGAAAGATACCCTTGCTCTCCTCCTCCTGTGCATGTGTGGAGAAAGGGGTTACATGTCCCCAGCCTCAGGCTCTCCCTCCCCAGGAACTGTGTATATGTTTAAGGGAAGATGACACACCCCATCTCCCCCAGCTGGCCCATCAGAGGGAGAGGGGGCACGAGACACTCCAGCTCCCCCACCTCTCCCTGCAGGCATTCAGAGGGAAAGACACGAGGCATCCCGCCCCTACCTGTGCAGGGAGAGGGGGACACGAGACACCCCGACCACACCTGTTCAGCATGGGGGGTAGACGAGGCACCCCACCCCTCACCTGTGCAGGGAGGGGGACACGAGGCACCCCACCCCTCACCTGTGCAGGGAGGGGGACACGAGGCACCCCACCCCTCACCTGTGCAGGGAGGGGGACACGAGGCACCCCACCCCTCACCTGTGCAGGGAGGGGGACACGAGGCACCCCACCCCTCACCTGTGCAGGGAGGGGGACACGAGGCACCCCACCCCTCACCTGTGCAGGGAGGGGGACACGAGGCACCCCACCCCTCACCTGTGCAGGGAGGGGGACACGAGGCACCCCACCCCTCACCTGTGCAGGGAGGGGGACACGAGGCACCCCACCCCTCACCTGTGCAGGGAGGGGGACACGAGGCACCCCACCCCTCACCTGTGCAGGGAGGGGGACACGAGGCACCCCACCCCTCACCTGTGCAGGGAGGGGGACACGAGGCACCCCACCCCTCACCTGTGCAGGGAGGGGGACACGAGGCACCCCACCCCTCACCTGTGCAGGGAGGGGGACACGAGGCACCCCACCCCCACCTGTGCTGCAGGGAGGGGGACACAGGACACCCCGCCCCCACCTGTGCAGGGAGGGGGACACAGGACACCCCGCCCCCACCTGTGCAGGGAGGGGGACACAGGACACCCCGCCCCCACCTGTGCAGGGAGGGGGACACAGGACACCCCGCCCCCACCTGTGCAGGGAGGGGGACACAGGACACCCCGCCCCCACCTGTGCAGGGAGGGGGACACAGGACACCCCGCCCCCACCTGTGCAGGGAGGGGGACACAGGACACCCCGCCCCCACCTGTGCAGGGAGGGGGACACAGGACACCCCGCCCCCACCTGTGCAGGGAGGGGGACACAGGACACCCCGCCCCCACCTGTGCAGGGAGGGGGACACAGGACACCCCGCCCCCACCTGTGCAGGGAGGGGGACACAGGACACCCCGCCCCCACCTGTGCAGGGAGGGGGACACAGGACACCCCGCCCCCACCTGTGCAGGGAGGGGGACACAGGACACCCCGCCCCCACCTGTGCAGGGAGGGGGACACAGGACACCCCGCCCCCACCTGTGCAGGGAGGGGGACACAGGACACCCCGCCCCCACCTGTGCAGGGAGGGGGACACAGGACACCCCGCCCCCACCTGTGCAGGGAGGGGGACACAGGACACCCCGCCCCCACCTGTGCAGGGAGGGGGACACAGGACACCCCGCCCCCACCTGTGCAGGGAGGGGGACACAGGACACCCCGCCCCCACCTGTGCAGGGAGGGGGACACAGGACACCCCGCCCCCACCTGTGCAGGGAGGGGGACACAGGACACCCCGCCCCCACCTGTGCAGGGAGGGGGACACAGGACACCCCGCCCCCACCTGTGCAGGGAGGGGGACACAGGACACCCCGCCCCCACCTGTGCAGGGAGGGGGACACAGGACACCCCGCCCCCACCTGTGCAGGGAGGGGGACACAGGACACCCCGCCCCCACCTGTGCAGGGAGGGGGACACAGGACACCCCGCCCCCACCTGTGCAGGGAGGGGGACACAGGACACCCCGCCCCCACCTGTGCAGGGAGGGGGACACAGGACACCCCGCCCCCACCTGTGCAGGGAGGGGGACACAGGACACCCCGCCCCCACCTGTGCAGGGAGGGGGACACAGGACACCCCGCCCCCACCTGTGCAGGGAGGGGGACACAGGACACCCCGCCCCCACCTGTGCAGGGAGGGGGACACAGGACACCCCGCCCCCACCTGTGCAGGGAGGGGGACACAGGACACCCCGCCCCCACCTGTGCAGGGAGGGGGACACAGGACACCCCGCCCCCACCTGTGCAGGGAGGGGGACACAGGACACCCCGCCCCCACCTGTGCAGGGAGGGGGACACAGGACACCCCGCCCCCACCTGTGCAGGGAGGGGGACACAGGACACCCCGCCCCCACCTGTGCAGGGAGGGGGACACAGGACACCCCGCCCCCACCTGTGCAGGGAGGGGGACACAGGACACCCCGCCCCCACCTGTGCAGGGAGGGGGACACAGGACACCCCGCCCCCACCTGTGCAGGGAGGGGGACACAGGACACCCCGCCCCCACCTGTGCAGGGAGGGGGACACAGGACACCCCGCCCCCACCTGTGCAGGGAGGGGGACACAGGACACCCCGCCCCCACCTGTGCAGGGAGGGGGACACAGGACACCCCGCCCCCACCTGTGCAGGGAGGGGGACACAGGACACCCCGCCCCCACCTGTGCAGGGAGGGGGACACAGGACACCCCGCCCCCACCTGTGCAGGGAGGGGGACACAGGACACCCCGCCCCCACCTGTGCAGGGAGGGGGACACAGGACACCCCGCCCCCACCTGTGCAGGGAGGGGGACACAGGACACCCCGCCCCCACCTGTGCAGGGAGGGGGACACAGGACACCCCGCCCCCACCTGTGCAGGGAGGGGGACACAGGACACCCCGCCCCCACCTGTGCAGGGAGGGGGACACAGGACACCCCGCCCCCACCTGTGCAGGGAGGGGGACACAGGACACCCCGCCCCCACCTGTGCAGGGAGGGGGACACAGGACACCCCGCCCCCACCTGTGCAGGGAGGGGGACACAGGACACCCCGCCCCCACCTGTGCAGGGAGGGGGACACAGGACACCCCGCCCCCACCTGTGCAGGGAGGGGGACACAGGACACCCCGCCCCCACCTGTGCAGGGAGGGGGACACAGGACACCCCGCCCCCACCTGTGCAGGGAGGGGGACACAGGACACCCCGCCCCCACCTGTGCAGGGAGGGGGACACAGGACACCCCGCCCCCACCTGTGCAGGGAGGGGGACACAGGACACCCCGCCCCCACCTGTGCAGGGAGGGGGACACAGGACACCCCGCCCCCACCTGTGCAGGGAGGGGGACACAGGACACCCCGCCCCCACCTGTGCAGGGAGGGGGACACAGGACACCCCGCCCCCACCTGTGCAGGGAGGGGGACACAGGACACCCCGCCCCCACCTGTGCAGGGAGGGGGACACAGGACACCCCGCCCCCACCTGTGCAGGGAGGGGGACACAGGACACCCCGCCCCCACCTGTGCAGGGAGGGGGACACAGGACACCCCGCCCCCACCTGTGCAGGGAGGGGGACACAGGACACCCCGCCCCCACCTGTGCAGGGAGGGGGACACAGGACACCCCGCCCCCACCTGTGCAGGGAGGGGGACACAGGACACCCCGCCCCCACCTGTGCAGGGAGGGGGACACAGGACACCCCGCCCCCACCTGTGCAGGGAGGGGGACACAGGACACCCCGCCCCCACCTGTGCAGGGAGGGGGACACAGGACACCCCGCCCCCACCTGTGCAGGGAGGGGGACACAGGACACCCCGCCCCCACCTGTGCAGGGAGGGGGACACAGGACACCCCGCCCCCACCTGTGCAGGGAGGGGGACACAGGACACCCCGCCCCCACCTGTGCAGGGAGGGGGACACAGGACACCCCGCCCCCACCTGTGCAGGGAGGGGGACACAGGACACCCCGCCCCCACCTGTGCAGGGAGGGGGA